TCCAGCTGTTTTAATTTTGTTGATTGCCAAATAGCTACAATGACAAAATATTACAAATGGACAAACAACCAAAACTATTGCTCAATATTACTTAGAAAATTATCATCGTGATCAGTTTTCGAGCTGCACTGATGCTCGAAATATGGACATAGTTGCTTTCTCTGGTGCTCCCTATATGGAGAGAATCATCCAATAAGCCAGCAACACAGTCTTATATGTGCACGCCATGAGCTATCTAGCCTGCATATATCTATGATTTACTAGTAGTCGTCCGAAGTCACTGCCTTCCTTTAACGTGCTATAAGGTGGGCTAGTCAAAACTCATTTTTAGATATCCAGAATGCAATTACAGATAGTCAGACTAAACAGATTTTATGCTAAAATGGCTTTCCACAGTTGGAGGGGCTTCTGATTGGTCATTACAGGTTGATGATGGGTAGGGGGACCCCTACCTGTGTGTGTATTAACCCCTCCCCCCTCAGCCCCTCAGAGCTTTACAATAAATTCTCATCTTTCTCCCTTTGGATAGAAATTGCCCAAAGATAATAAAAAAAAGAAAAAAGAAAACCTTCTTGAATCTTGAAATAAAAATTGAACTTATGAACTTGATTTAAAAAAAATACTATTTGTAAAAATTAAACTAAAGCTTGAAACAAATCAAAAACTCAAACTTGTGCTGATAGGATTTAAACATTTAACCATGCAAACCTGGAAGAGTTGTTGTTAACCTAAAAAAGCAGAAAGTTCAGCACCTGTGACCAGCAGGTTCTGTGTTTTCTGGCTCCTCCTTGGGTCCTCAACAATCCTTTAATGTTGCTGCCGGGTTCCGGGGGGTGGACGGCTGGGGGGGGTGCATTTGGTCATTGGCGGTGTGGTGGGGTTGTCATGGGTGTGGCTTCTCTGTGGCGGGGTGCTGGCCGGGCGTCCTGGTACGGCCCGGGCCGGGGCTTGGCTATCTGCTCCTCTCCACCTCAGAATGATTGGGTCTACCTCCTGGGTTCGGGTGTGTGCGGCCTCCA